GGGGGGGCCGGGCAGGGCCGGACCCGGCCTCTCTCACCGCCTTTCGCTGCCTTCTCGCTGCAGGAGCATCGCCTGGCTGCTTCTGAGGGAAGAAGAGGGACGGCAGGATAGATGGTCCCTTCTACAGGCAAGGACTTGCTGCCCGTAAAGTTGCACGACCTCAGTCAACGCTTTGAATATGTTCTGAGTCCCTGGGAAGGCCGCAGCTAAAGAGCCCTTCGTTGTGCTGATGATGGATGAGGAGAGCCTGGAGGGGGCCATCCGGACCTACACCGCCCAGCTGCAGCAGGTGGAGCTGTCGCTGGGGGCGGGCCTGGACCCCTCCCAGCACTCGGACTTGATTCAGTTGCAGGAGGATTTAAAGCAGCTGATAGAGCTGACTGAGTCCAGCCTGGTGGCTGTGAAGAAGAGCAAACTGCTGGCTACTTTAGATACAGATGCCCCCTCCTCGGAGCAGGACACCAAGCCCAGCAGCTCTGCCCACGATGAGGAATATGCTGCCTTTAGGGAAGCCATTGCTGAGCTTGGAGCTCAAGAGGAGCCTTTAGCTGAGAACAATGAGGCACCATCAAAGGGAGATGGAGAAACTGGTGACAAAGATGAATCAAGGCACAGTGAAGAGGAGGAGTCTGACAAAGAGGAGGAGGAGGAGGAACTGAGTGGGATGAAGGTTAAAGCCCCCTACTACAGTTCTTGGGGGACCCTGGAGTACCACAATGCCATGATTGTGGGGACAGAGGAGTTGGAAGATGGCAGCCCAGGGGTGCGGGTGCTGTACCTCTACCCCACCCACAAGGCCCTGAAGCCCTGCCCCTTCTTCCTGGATGACAAGTGCAGATTTAAGGAGAACTGTCGGTAAACACAGGAAAAAAGGAGGGAGGGGAGGGGCTGGTGTCCTTTCTGTAGCCAATGACCTCATCCTCCAGAGGGATAAACCTCTGGAAGCACCATGTGTGGCCTCTCTGCCCAATGGAATGTTGCCTTTATGTTTTTAGGACGTTCTGGTGAGCAGGGGCATCAGCTTGGCTGGTTCCATCAGCTCATGCTGAAAAATGGAGTGGAAAATCCCGTGGGAAACCTGCAGAGATTCTCCACAATCCATTGAGTGGCTCCATGAATAACCAAAGAACACTGTGGTGGTTGTGCTCACATTCCAGTGGCGTGGAGAGGTTATCCAGGACTTCCCTGGCCTGAGCAACCTGACTGTGCTTGGAGCAGGGGGTTGGACCAACCTGGTTATCCTGCTGCTCCCAAAGGAGCTGTGAACTTTTGTGCTGGAGGTGTCACCAGCAGGGAGAGCTTCGTGCTGTGGGGTGGGTGTGTCCTGTGTCACCTGGCCTAACAAACGTGTTTAAGGTGAAAAATTAATAACTGGTCTAATTGAATTAGTGCAACTTCCCTGATGAGGGATCCATCCCACGACGGCTCCTCTGCGCTTCCTGCAGGGAGAGAAGGGGTTTTTATTTAAAGGCTGCTCAGGTGAGGTAGAGATAATTCCACTTCCTCCTTCCCTGGCAGGTTTTCCCATGGCCAGGTGGTCTCCATAGAGGAACTTCAGCCCTTCCAGGAGCCCGACCTGGGGGCTCTGGGGGTGGGTTCATCCTGCCTGGCCAAGCACAGCGACGGGATCTGGTACACGGCCCGGATTGTGGGTGAGTCTGGGGGCAGCTCTGCCAGGCTCCCTGGGCAGCAGCTCCTGGGGGGAGTCTGCAACCTGGCTGTTCTGGGAATGATTGAAAGACATTAATGATGGAGAAATGTTAATGATGTGGCTGGGATAAATGGGCTGAGCTGTGTCAGGCTTGGGAAGGGAACAGGCTGGGAAGGGGGAGTGTGAGGTTAAAAGCAGACACAGGAGCAGGAGTCCAGGAAGGAGGAGGCCTGTGACTTGCATGGGAAGGGAAGAGGCAGGATGGCAGGGATTTGTTAGGTTAGAATTGTGATGATGTGCTCCTGTGGAAACAAAACCCAGGGCAGCCAGCCCTGGGCATCAGCTGTGGGACAGGCTGACCCTGTCCTGGGGGGCTCGGGCTCTTCCCATCTCTCTTTGGCTGCCATGTCAGAGGGGAACAAATCCAGCTTCTCTGTAGTTCCATTTCTGCAGCCCACCTTTCTTCAGGGTTGGGAATAAACTTCTAAATATGAGCACAGGTGCTGTGGAAACAGCTTTTCACCACAGGGGCTGCTTCTCCCTCCCAGACAAATCTCCAGCACAAACTGAAACCAGGATTTCTTTAAAGCACCTGTCCCTGGGGCCTCCCCCTTCTCCCGTCTCCGAACTGCCCTTCAGAAAGCCCTTTGCCAGACTCCCTGGAACTCTTGTCCTTGTTTTTCCTCCTGCAGACATAGACAGTGGTTACTACACAGTGAAGTTTGATTCCCTGCTCCTCAAGGAAGCAGTTGTGGAAGGGGACAGTGTCATCCCCCCCCTGCGCAGGGAGGAGGGGGCTGAGTCTGCTGAGTCTGACGAGGACAGTGTGGATGACTCTGGTTATGCCAAAGGTAAGAGAGTGGGAAGGGTGTGATCCAGGTCTGCCTCCTCTGGGACCTGCTGAGTTGCTCTCCTGGAACTCTCATTGGAAGTGTCTCCCCTCTGGTGAACCTCATCTCTTAATGAGTTGCTGAAAAATGGAGTGTTAATGAGCTGTTATGTTCCACCTGCAAATCAGGATATTTGTTTTATGCAAATTACTGGGCTAACGAAGGTTGGAGGTTTCCATGGGAACTTCCAACACATGGGAGAAGAGCATGTGATATTTCAGAGCTGAGTGCCAAACTCTGAGTCTGTTCCTCGTGGGGCTGAGTTGAGCTCATATGTGGATCTGGAGATTTCCTTGTCTCTGGGGGGTCCGTGTAGCTCCATGACACAGGAGTGTGAGACCCCAGTGAGGGTGAGAACTTCCAATGCCTCCCTGAGGTCACCAGAACAGCTGTGCCCTGGTTTCCCATTGAAAGGGACACAGGGAGAGCCCAAGTGACTTATTTGAGATGCCACAGGCAGCACTGTCCCCGTGCTGGGGCCACAGTCACATCACAGGGATAAAGTTGTGTCCTCGAGCTGTTTACGCTGGGGTGGTTGGATCCTAATAAAACAAAACTGGCTTTGGGGCCTGGAGGAGCCTCATGCCAGAGAGATGAGCTGGAGGCACAGAGTGTTCCATGCCACTGTGCCAGGTTGTGCTGGGAGGGTGTGGGTCAGTCTACATCACCATCCTGGAAGGAAGGAGAGGGAGCAGAAAGACTTCTGGGGAATTCTGCTCGACGCTGCCAGGTGGTTTGTGCGCCAAAGCAGGTGAGATGGAAGTGCCTCCCTGTGCAGCTGAACGATGGAGAAGTCCTTGTGCTGCCTTCCCAGGGGTGTTCAGGCTGCCTGGGCTGCCCCCAAGGAAGGTTTTCCCTGGGGGTTTGTTCCTGTCTCTCACTGGTTCTTCTCTTTGTGCCCCAGTGATCGATTCGGGAGGTGCGGGGAGCGGGGATTGGGCTCCTGCCTGCAGCTCCTCCTTCGGGGGCTGGGAAGCCCACACCCGGGGCATCGGCTCCAAGCTGCTCGTGCAGATGGGATACGAGTTTGGGAAAGGTAAGAGAAGAGGGATCCTGGTGCTGTGGGAGCCTGGCTGCCCCAGTGCATCCTAAAGCTAGTTAAGAAAGACAAGATGATGGATGTTCTGGGCTGAAGGGCCTGTTTGAGGCTGGGGCTGTGTGAGGAGTCCCAGCTCTGGCAGAAGGCAGGAAGGGGTAGCTTGTTTGATGGGAGGACAGGCCTGTGTGGGCTCCAGCCCCTCCATGGTTATAGGAAAAAAATGGGAGGCATCTGAAGCCATGATCAGGTCCACGATTAAAGCTGTGGGAACCACAGTAGGAGATGTTCAAAGGACCAGAGGAACTGATCTTTGGAGCTTCTGAAGTCTGGTTCCAGCATCCATCATCCATCTGGCCCTGGATGCAGACTTCAAAGCCTGCTGAACTCGCTGCTCCCCACACAAATTGTGAGGAGCCTTGGGGGCTGTGGGAGGCCAGTCTGCTCCTTTCTTCTGTCTCTGCTGTTCCCACAGACACCAAACCAGTTCTGGGAAGCAGCTGGGGCTGTGGGCCTGGTTCCACAGAAACCAGCCTGACCGTGGCCTCGAGGCAGGGATTTATCTGTGTCTTCTGCTGGAGGAAACTCCTGTTGTAGCATCAACCTGTGTTGTGCCACAGCCGGTGCTGCTCCCCTGGGATGGTGGCCACAGCACTGGGTACCTCAAAGCCTGCTGGGTTGTCCGAGGGTCGTGACTGTCAGTGGGAGCTTTTGGTGGGAGGTGACATCGGGGGGGGATGTCACCACCTGCAGTGACCTCTGGGTGTCTCTCCTCAGGGTTAGGGAAGAATTCTGAGGGCCGAGTGGAGCCGGTGCAGGCCGTGGTACTTCCTCGAGGGAAGTCCCTCGACCAGTGTGTGGAGGTGCTCCAGAAGAAGAGGCTGGGGAAGCTGGACCCAGGGAAAGCAGGGAAGTGCAGGGTGAAGGGAAGCGGCTCCGGGCAGCGCCCCGGGGGCAACCGCCGCCCCCGGCACAACGTGTTTGACTTTCTGAACGAGAAACTGCGAGGGAAGAGCTCTGGGGAGAAGGCTGGAGGGATGGCCCTGCCCCAGAGGAGCAGCAAGGAGATCTACCATGCCAGCAAGAGCACCAAGAAGGCCCTGAGTGTCCGTCTCTTCCAGACCATGGAGAAGATCGAGCAGACGCAGAGGGACATCAGGGGGATCCAGCAGGCCCTGGAACGCAACGTCGGGAGGTAGGAAAACATTCCCTGTGGGACTGCAGGAGGAACTGAGGGTTCCTGGGAAGGGGTGGCCTTGAAATGACGTGTGGGAAGAACAAGTGAAAATACCTGCATGAGACCTAAGGGAAAGTGGAGGAGAGAGACTTTGGCATGTGCTCCAGACCAGCTGGGACACTGGCAGATGTGTTCAGGGTCCTTTGACTGGAACTCAGGCTGTGGTGAAGAGAGGAGCTCTGTGAGGGGAGGTGCTGGGGCCCTTTCCACCTCTGCAGCTTTGCTGTGGAGCACCACGGGAGGACATTTTCTAGCCCAGGTAGTGCTGAGCATCAGGTCCTTCTGGCTTTCAGCAGGGCACTGGCACTAATACCACAGAAAAGGGTGAATCCTCCTGGGGTGGTGACAAGGCTTTGATCTTCTCCTGCAGGATGGCACTGCCATGTTTGCTCTCTGCTTTCAGGCACAGCGTTGCTACAGCTCAGCTGGAGAAGAAGCTGGCCAGTGCCCACCAACAGCTGGGGCAGCTGCAGGCCCAGGAGGCCTCTCTGCAGCGGGAGCAGAAGAAAGCAGACACGCACAAGAAGATGACCGAGTTCTAGTCTCTGAGAAGGACATTTGAGTGCAGTGATTGTCCTTCCAGCCAGCCCTGGTGCTCGTGGCCTCAGAGCCAGGGTGAACCATCCTGCTCCTCTGGGCCTCGGGCTGCCCAGCCTGAAAACTGGGCTGAGAAGCAGCAGCAGCTTCTAAAATTCGGCACTTGGGGCAGAAGTGCCTGCCCACCAGCCCTGAAAGGCTTCACTGAGCCTGACCTGTGTGAGGACCAGCTACAAGAAACACAACTCTCTGCTCTCTTGCACACTCCTTCTCTTGGCTGTCGCTGTGGCAGCACCTCCATCCAGGCTGTGGCTGCTCAGGTGGTGACACTGGTGGCAAGGAAGCAGCTGAGGAGGGGCTCAGGCAGCCCCACATCCTGCCAGCAGCTGTGGCTTGTGCCTGCAGCCAACTGAGGAGTTGAGGGGGAGGCAGGGTCCCCAGCACCTCCAGCAACACAGAGCAGCCTCATACTGGGCCAGAGCAACCCAGGCCTCAGCTGCTCCCTGCCTCCTGGTGTGTGCCTTGGGGTTGTCTGAGAGCTCTGGTTTCTGGCGAGCAGGTCCCTGTGGCCCTTGTGTCATGGATAGATGGAAAAGTGGCAGCTTGGTGGGTGCTGGTGATCTTGAGCATCAGATTTCACTCCTTTTGACTGTAGGAGCATCCCTGGGACGTGTCAGAGCCCTACCCCCTGGCCTGGCACGGGAAGCTGGTGGCTCCTCAAGTGAGTGCCAGAGCTGGGGGGATAAGGCAGCAGTTCCTCTTGACTGTAGGAGTGTCCCTGGGACATGCCAGAGCCCTACCCCCTGGCCTGGCATGGGAAGCTGGTGGCTCCTCGAGTTGAGTGCCAGAGCTGGGGGGATAAGGCAGCAGAGTAATGGATCTCAAACCTCCCACCAACTCCACAGGGAATCTTGAGTTTTGCCATCATTACTGAAGTTTCTCTGCCCGAGGTGGCTCACTGAACACAGCTCCTTTTGTTTAAAAACCTTGGGACCCAGATCGAGGCCCAGGTTGTGCCCCAGAGGAGCTCAGGAGGAGCTTCAGGCTCTGCTGCCAGGAGGCCCAGCCAGCCCAGGGCCCTTTCCTGCAGCGTGGGCAGTTCCTGGGCAGGAAGGATGTCTTCTCCCCTGGGTGGTGTTCTGTGTTGGCAGCAGCCAGTCCTTGCCCCAGAGAAGATGGTTGTTTCATCAGTGTTTCTGGTGGGACTTGTGAGTTTTTTACAAAAAAAAAAAGGTTGGTGATCTCATGCCAGTGGTAAGGACACATTTTTCTTTTAATTTAAGAAATCAGATTCCTTTTATTGTGTGAGTCATTTTCATAATGAAAAGTTTTGCTCCTTTAGTACCACCTTTCTTATCTGTTCCTAAGAAAACTTCCAAAGCTTCAGGCCGGGCAGGGTCAGGCTGCCAAACCAACCAGAAAGTCTAAGGCTGCAGGAGATACCATCAGAGCTGTTCAAGTCATGTGGACCTGGCATGGCTGCAGACACACCCCAGAAACAGAGCAGCAGCAGAGATGAACGAGATAAACATCTTCAGGAGATGTGGTGGTGACTGGTGACTCTCTCCTCCTGGAAAGCAGTTGGATGCTCTGGGATGGGCACGGTGTTGGGAAGGTGGTGAGGCTGCCCTGAGCACTTTGCATCCATCAGTTCCTGACAAACTTGGCTGCACTGTCCTCATTGTTCTGAATGTGTGTTCTCTACTTACTGGGGCTTCACTGGAGGGTTTGACAATGGTCACTCAGTGCTCTTCCCTCACAAGTGGCTTCTTGTTTCCCTCACTTGAGTGGTGACAAGGATGAATGTGCCCGACTTGTGGGTGCTCACTGCCCATGGCTGGGGAGCTGAGCTGGGCAGACAAATTCCCTGGGTTTGTTTTGTGCTCTCACACTATTTCACATCATCCTCTCTTGAAGAATGGGGTGTATCACCCTGTGCCTTGGCGAAGTCCTGTTTTGCCCTTCCCTTGGGGGTTTCCAGCTCTCACTTGCCAGGCTCCTGTTCCGATGGCTCCACCCAAGACAGTTCACGTCCCCGGTGAATAAAGCTGGGTTTAATTTTTCCCCTCTGTGCTTGTGAGGCGTCGTTCATTTGCAAGGTAATGATGATCTGTGGTCACCCATTCTTTCCCTGCAATTCCCTTGGGGCGAGGGAGCTGGCACCCAAACCAGCAGGGCGGGCAGGGAGCGGGGCTGGGGGTGCCGGGTGCTGCTGCAGCCCCGCTGGGAGGGACCCAGCCCGTCATTGGGCGAGGGAACCAGCCCTGCGGGCCAGGAAACGGCTGCGGTGGGTGCTGCTGGTGTCTGCCCAGAGCTGCCTGCTCCACGAGGGGCTGAGGAGCAGCGGCAGAGCTCGGAGCAAGATGTTTGGAACGTTTGGGACCCCCCGATGAGGAAAAACTCCGTGGGATCGAGAGAAGAGCAGTTCTGGCTGGCAAGGGAGGGAGTGTGAGCAGACCCTGCTCCTCTCGCTCAGCAGCTCTTCAGTTCCTGCCAAGTAAGTGGTTGCTTTCTTGCCTGGCAAGGGGGGGATTTGCAGCTGAAAAACACCTCAGACCCCCTGGTCTGGATGGAAACTGCGGCGTTGCCTGAGATGCTGCAGCCGGGGCCGGGCAGGCAGGATCCCAGCCTGGGGCAGCAGCAGCAGCAGGCAGGTGGGTTCAACTTGCAGGGGCTGCAGGTGCCGCCAGGTTCCTGCCCCTGGGTGCTCTGCAAGCAGCTGGGCTTCGGAAGGGAGAAGAGGTGCTGGAGTTTGGCAGCGCTGGGGGCAGCCTGTGAGGTTGAGTGGGACCAGTGCTTCGTGGTGAGGGAATTGCTGAGGTCGGAGGTGAGGGGGAAAGTGTTTTTTTCACCAGAAAAATGTCCGGTTGTTCTGTGGAGAGAGGGACTAGAGCTTTTGCTTGTGTGTGGAACAGCTCTGTGCTGAGCTCCTGGCTGCAGGTGAGCGTGGCCACTGAAACGGTGTCTGTGTAAGTCTGAACTGAGGTAAAGCTGCTGACTTTGTGACAAGGAAACCACCGTGGCAGGCAGGGACTGTGGAGCAAACGTGTCTCTGTACCCCCACCCTGCATTTTGGGTTCTGGCTTCCCCCAGCTGCAGCACCTGGGGCTCTGCAGAACATCTCTGGCTGTTCCTTGGCTGCTGCAGAAAGCAGCATCACCCTGCCCAGCAGGAGCATTTCCAGCCACCCTGGCAGGGCAGGGAGGGAAAAAATGCTGAACCGGTGTCACTCCGGATCAGAGCCTCGCGGGGTGAGCAGGCAGGTCTCTTCCCTCAGGTTTTACAATTATATTTTCTCAAAAGCCACTCCAGCACAGGAGAGGTGACCAGCACTGTAATTAGAAGCGTGCATCCAAGTTTTGTGTCACTTGGGCCTGGCACGTAGGGATGTAGCTGGTCCTTTCCAAACCAAATGCCTCCAGAGGAGCCTGGCCATGAAACCTCCCCTTCCTGCTGCAGAAACGTGAGACCTCGTGCCTCCTCCAGGCCTTGAAATCCACTAGTTGCATCCCATGGTCTTAGGGCAGACTCAGTGCTGTTAACTGACTGTTACAAGGCTTTCACTTTTCATCACTGAAAAGAAAAAATAGCTCTACTTCTCCTTCTTGGGACTTTTTTTCAGTTCAACTCCCCAGGGTAGCTGAGCTGTGTCTGCTGCAGCCGAGTTTGCAATCACTGATGGAAGGAAATCAGCTCATAATGTTTGTCCTACTTTCTTGCAGATATGCTTTTAGTAGTGTCATAGACTTTGTTCTTGTCACCCTGCGTGTGGTTTTATCTGGGTAGATGAATCGGAGGCAGCAGCGCTGAATTTTGCACTGAACTTCATCTTGTTTTCCTGAAGCCCAGCTGAGAAACTTGTGCCTTTTGTAGGAGCTACAAAAAAAACCCTCTCCCACGTCCTGGAGTAACAAACCAACTGCATTGATGGTGCCTGTGCTGAGGTGTCAGGAAATGGAGTTATTCCCTCCTGGAGGGCTGTGGGTCTGTGTCGCACGTACATGATGGCAACTGCTGCAGCTGCTCTTGGCTGGAAGGCCATCTTGGCTGGTAGGACCAGTGGTTTTGAAACGGTGTCTGCTGAGTCTCCTGCCCTGGAGAATGGCCCCAGGACTGGGAGATCCAGAACTTTATTGGCAGGAAATTCAGGTGTGCCTTTCAGAAGGTCTGTTTTAAGACTTTGCCTTGCAAACCTGCTCAGTCCTACCTGAGCGACTTCAGCCAAGCACTGGGGTTTCCCTCTCAAACTTGTGCTTTTGGGAGAACCAACCTGTTGTCCCAAGAAGCAGTTTCTCCCAGTGATGGCTGAACCTGACAGAGCATGCACAGGACATCTCTATAGGTCAGGAATCCAGGACCAGCCACTGGCTTGTACAACTGAAAGTAGGAGAATTTCTCTATAACAACTTCAGCTTAGGAAGCCTCTCTCTTCATTCCTCAATCTTAAAAATTCAGGGATGGAAGATCCCCCCTCTGTGGGATCAGCTGCTCCATGTGTGCCTGCCTCCCACTTTGTGTGTGCTAAAAAGCTCCCACTTTGATTCCAACATATTTCCAGCTCAAAC